TATATATATATATATATATATATATATATTATAAATAAATCAAAAGTCTTTGGAGAAAATTTGAGCTCACTGAAAATGATTTTCACAGATATAAATATAGGAAAACTTAAAGGAAAATTTGTAAATAATGAGTTACCATTATATGTAGCCCACATCTGTGAAATTCCTAAAAGGTAGTAGGTTTTTAAAAAAAATGCTTTTTAAATCTGATTTTTTTATTATTATTTGAACTTATACATTGTAATTGGACATACTTATAGACTACAATCTGGTGTTTTGATATATATATATATATATATATATATCCTCATATAGGCTCCAAAGTCATGATTAAAAGGTTAGACCCATCCTTATTGAGGTCCCTGACTTGCTGAATTTCTTCTCTTTTTATGTTGTCACAGTCTATATCTTGGTTGGTAGCATTTTACAATTCACTTACATTGACCTTTTCACATGCCTTATTCACTATTTAGGGAAGATAATTGTTCTTTGCTTCTCCACTTCACATTTTCCTAAACATTTTTCATACACATCCACATTCTTACCATATTTAATATAACTATGGATGATACCACCTTGATTTTGTGTAGTAATATGTCCTCACATGAATGAGTCATTTTTTTTTTCCTTTTTGTCTTTTTTACTGACTGGTACGGGATCGTGACCCTCGGTGTCGCGCCTGCGCTGCGCTCAGCCAGTGAGCGGGAACCGGTCACCACATGGGATCTGAACCCTCGGCGGGAGCACTCTCCAGTGCGCCACCGGGCTGGCCCTGAATGAGTCATTTTAAGACAGGTTTTACTAAGGCCAACAAGATTAATAGCCTATAAGAGAGTACAAAGGTATTCCCTTTATACAGAATTCATGCACTGGCCTTTTGGATACACACTGGATACTCAATTTTTGACCAACTAACTGGCTGATTGTGGCCACAGGCTAACTTCCATATTAAAAATGTTCCATGCTGGATTGTATATTCACTATATGTTATTTTGTTGTTTCAGCTGGAATGAGCTGCTTTGTAGAATAGCCATATCTTTGTAATAACCATAGTATATACTTAGGCTAAGTTCTTTGGCTACTCCATTCTGTCTTAGCAAGCACTAGACATGTTGCCCAGGGAACAAATGACAATTCTGTAGCTG